TTTAATAATAGCTACTATTTGTTTTGGAATCGAAGAAATCAATTTTTGTTTGGTTTTTGGTCCCAAATTTTGCCACTCTTCAACAGTGCCACCTTGAGTTCTGCCTTTGTTGTTATAATGGGTTTCTTTGGACGTCTATCCAATTTAGTGGCCAAGCTCTTCTATTTAATAATAGCTACTATTTGTTTTGGAATCGAAGAAATCAATTTTTGTTTGGTTTTTGGTCCCAAATTTTGCCACTCTTCAACAGTGCCACCTTGAGTTCTGCCTTTGTTGTTATAATGGGTTTCTTTGGACGTCTATCCAATTCTATATTTGCACAACTCGTATTATTATGTTGCGTTCACGCAAATTTCAATTTACTTTACCTCAATTTACTCGAGTTCGCACACGGCCTAAGTACAATATCAGCAATTAGAACTTAAACTTATGACACCTACCTTGTTAAATTACGAAGACTATATACTTTTTTATAGTTCTTACATTATAACCTTATTAGATATTGTTGGTTTTAGTTATGCTAGAATAATGCAAAGATTTAAAAATATTATATTTTCACAATTTTTTTAATTATAACAATATATTTAGTACTAAAAAATCACAGCAATGAAGTGTTTATTTTAGTACCCAAAACACACATGTCCCTTTAAAAGTATTAAAATCCTACAGGATCGACAGCGAAACTGATCATTGAGCGGGAACTACTCTACACAACAGTAAAAATGTTTGGAAACAAACACAATTTCCATTCCAATAGCAGCTCAAGCTCAAGTTTGCAAGCGAAGAGAAGTGAAAATGAATATTTCTGAAAAAAAATAAAAAATAAAAAACCAAAAACAATTTGTGTTTGCAAACGCAAACACAAACACAAGCAAGACGAACACTCCAATCAGAAAGCGAATTCATTTTCGAAAATGAACGCCAGCAATTGCACCGAACTAAGCAGAATATTGTAAGTGGATTTCAGTTTCAAATGAGAATTCGTGCGCGTTGGTTGTGTGGAAATCGATGTGCTTAGAAGAGACAGGGCACGCGGACGAAGTGCCTTTTTGTTGATAGTTTGCAAGCGGCAGATGTGTGTAAATAAAACGTAGAACGCATAAGAAAGTACGAGCAAACGTGCTGTTGCGCGGATGAGTAAGTCGAGTTCGTAACGAAATTTTTAAGCAAAACAAAAATTGGTGGTTGCTGGCATTTGTTGTGGATAAGTTTTGTGTTTCTGGCACACACACACACTGTCTGCGTAACTCTGCACACACAAAAAGCCAAAGCAGCAGTTCTGCTGTGAGATACAATGCAATGCAATACACTTAAAGCCGGTGACTAAATTCTACCAGGCGAACAATTTAAATGATTGTTTATTTTATCAAACAGACAAACAAACAAACAAACAATATTTGCAAATAATATTTCCTTTAATTATTTTTTTTTCTACGTAATGCAACTAAAGTGATTCTTATGTGAATAAATAAAATTAAATAAAATATTTAAAATCAGAGATTTTCCTATGATGAAGTGGATGAAGTGGATTATGTGATTTATAGTTTCAAGCAGTTTATTTTGAAACTTTATCAGTGGATGTTGTTAAAAATATTATATTTTATTAAAGTGCGCCATAAATCTCTTGGATTAAATATTTTAGCAAACTTACCTGTTATTGCTGCACTGACAGAGTTTATTTACTTGTGTCACAACAATTCCTGGAAAGCAAAGGTTTTCGAATAAAAAAAAACCGTAGACGTTCTTTGTATTGGTGTCTAGTGAGTTCGTGCCGCTGTCGTTGTTATCAAATCATATCAAGGTAAAAGCTAAAAGAACTAAAGTACGTCAAGAAAATAATAAAAAAAATACATTTCAAACCACATGTGACTGTGCTAACAAATGAAAACCCATAGCCACAAGACTCTCATTTACGATATTAGTTATATTATGATGTTATGGACTTCCCCACTTTGTGATCGTACACATGCAAATTTCAATTTTAAAAATCTGTACAGATACAAAAGACAACTGTCCAGTGACAGCTAAGCTTAGGTTTGTGCTACGACGACACAATTTACAGTTAAAGTACATTGAAGTTTAATTAAAATGATATCCGTTGAGTGAAAAATGCTGATCATTCAGAATTTAGAGAAGAAAATACATAGAATGAAACTCACAAAAGAAATATACAGCAATTCTCACAATTTACGATTTTAATCCAAGTTTTTCACCGGTTCCATGCAATTCATCACAACTTGTTTGAAACGTCACAAAGCAAATTAGACGTTTGTTGTTCCCATCAAGTGACTTCACATAAAATTAATTGAGTATCGCAGATTGAGTATCTAAAGAGCAAGTCACTCATCCATAATCGCCCACACTTAATTAACTCAGTAGCTCAGTAAAAGCTTAAATCAAATGTTCACACAACACAACTTCTTTTTCAATGACAAACAAGAGAAAAAAAAAATAATAGTTTAAGTATAAATTTAAGTATATTTAACCAAATATATTTAACCAAGAATTTAATACCAAAATTTAACAATGAAATCTTCAAAAAGCGACTACTTTTCAGGATATGGAATTAAAACGCTATTTTTTAGTAATCAGTTCTATTCGTTATTGAGGATTAATTCTTAAAATAATGACATTATCTAAAGCGGGGAGATTGCAGAATACTTGAATCGTATTACGTACGTGTAAAAAACTAAAAAAAACCTACTGAAATTGGAGCCACAAGTTCCTATTTCAGAGTATTCAATGCATGTTCTAATTTAATCAGTTCTAATTTATGAACTCTCATATATTATTTTAGCCTATTATTAATATATATTGAAATATAAGTTGTTCTCTTTGAAAACATATAAAGAGGTATATTAAAATTAAAAGCATTAACATTTCACCCACGGTTGGGTTTGGTTTAAATGGAAGCCTTGTACACAACTTTACATGAGCTTAAATAATGGCCATTGTGATACCACGGGTCATTTCAGCTTCTTAATTAGGATTCAACTCTTTTTAAACTTCCCAAAAATAAATAGCACAGTGAAATGATATTAATTCACTTTTCATTATCCAGTATACCTTCACTTGAAGTCGAAAAACTATATAAACTAGATCATTAATAAAGAATACAGGTATAACTTGCATCGTCTGATTATTTAAAATATGGAAATTTTTTTAAATTATATTTGAAGAATAAATGCTTAGTGAAAAGTAATTTTTATATGTCTTCTTCTTCTTAATTCCTTTATCTCCTTGTGGAGCATAGAGTCTCAATTTTTAAATGCACTTAATTTCAAATCCGCAATTTTTTCTTTGAAGAGGGGGTGTTTTACAACACTCCCTCTTCTACTAGTATACGGATAACATATTAGTATACTAGTTAGGGAGTCGGACACACTATTCCGATGACGGTCGGTCTGACGGTGCATAAGGCAGTCCACCTCCTTAACACGAAAAAAAAAATTTGCAAGACTTTAGCTAATGTGTGTATCTTTTATATCTGATTCTAACTTTCCTTAGTTTTCGTCTGAATGATTTTAGGTTATGCTTTTGTTTACTTTACTTTGCAATTATTATAATAAATAATTACAATATATTATTATTATTAAGTATCAGCTTACATTTCTATTTCTGAAAAAGGTAAAACAGCCCTAGCATATAAATATATAACTATCTATATAACATATACATATAATATTATATATTACTTATTTATAATAAAACTATAATTATATTAATATATTATGACGATATATTAATATATTCCAAATAATATGTTATTTCGTTT